TAAAGAAATGTGAGTTGAAATGAGCGTTTCCGTTGCGATCGTGAGTTACATGTGGACGCTGCGTGTTTATTAAAAAACTTACGGAATCTTTAATATTTTTTCCAAAATTCGGTTTTACCGTGTTCAGAAAGGAAATCGGATAGCACACTGTTATTTCTTTTCAAGTTTTACGTTGTTCTCGCAGGAAAACTAGGTGAGTACTAATACGGTCAATCATATAACCTGTAAGTTCCTGCTTTGGAACAGATAATTTCAATGAGGTGATCCCCGAATATAAATATATACTCTCGTTATTAAAACATTATTACTTACTTTTAACGTATTTAATTATTATATTTAAAGTTAAATTTATTTATTTTATCGCTTCTTAGTTTATAAACATGCCTCGAACAACTAAAAAGAGTACATCTGCAAAGAAGAAAGAAGGAAAAACAGAGAGAACGATGAAGGAAAGGTGTACAAATAAATATTTAATGTATACAGAGAAAGACTTAATGAATGCTTTGCAAGCTGTCAAGAAAGGAATGTCTGTGAGAGGTGCGAGCCAACAGTTCAGAGTGCCTTTCTCTACAATTAGAACTAAGCACAAAGGCATTTACACTATTGGAAAAAAAAGTGGCCCTGCAACAATTTTAACGAAAGACGAAGAAAATATGTTAGTGGATTGGATTCTTCTGATTGGCACTAAAGGTTTTCCTTTGACCAAAGACATGCTATTGGATAGTGTAAAACTGTTAATGAAGTCTATAAGAAGAAAAAATCCATTCAATAATGGTAGGCCAGGCAGACATTGGTTTGAAGCCTTTCTGAAACGGCACCCACAACTGTCTTTAAAATCATCTCAAAATTTGTGTGAAAAGCATGGTCAAGTGTCTGAAGAAAAAATACATGGATGGTTTCAAAAAGTTAAAACTTACCTCAAGTCAAAAAACCTTATTGATATTGACCCATCCAGGGTTTTTAACTGTGAAGAATCAGCCTTTTTTTTGAACCCAAAAGACAATAAAGTTCTGACGAATAAGAAATCTAAAGGTGTTTACAATCTAGTTGGTGTAAATGAGAAGGAATGCCTAACAACATTCATTACAGGTAACAAATAAAATATCTGTGGCGGCACTACATCCTACATTCGCCATCAGAGGTCTACCGAGTTGACACCTTGCCCGCAAATATCTGAAGCCTTCCTCGTTCGTATATATACGTCCTTAACCGACCATCGTATATCCCCGCGTCTAAGGCAGGGTCTGCTAGGTAGCCTTACTGACGAGTTCACTAGCAGGCCCCCAGGACGAAACGCTCCCTCTCCTTTCCTTTTCATATTTTCCAGTCTACAGATTGCCGCCAAATTGGTGACCCCGAGAAGAACATACGCAGTAGACGAAGGAGACCGACCGACAACCAGGAGCAGTCTACAATGCAAGAGACGCGCCTACCAGAAGGATGATGGGTGGACATCGCTTTACAATTGCCGAGACTTCGTAATCCCTCTCCTAGGGTGGCCATCAACCGGCGATCTGTGTTACAGTGATACGCCTACGATAGTCGGACGCACGGACATCAACCGCAGATTGGCGGGAAAAACGCACGGAGGAGCGTGCAGCGCCACGATTCTCACCCTCCCAATGGCCAGTCTAGGACAGCAGCATATACGACTCGATAAGGTTCGAAGGCGGCGCGTCTGGCCACGACGATCCTGTATCTTCGGCACGAGCTACGTGCTCGCCATGCAGGGTTTCCTGCAGCTGACGACAGCGACAGCGCCTCATCGACATCCGCTACGACGCGACGTAGAGTCAGCGGACGACCAGCTCTACAAGGAAAAAGCAGTTTCACAGATCGTCATCGAGTGGGCACAGATCACAACGTCCCCGTCCTCTCTGGTACTCAAAGGATTCGACACGGACTGACATTAGGAAGAAGAACTCGCTCTGATATCGTTCATCACTGGCAAGGGGGTACTGTGGCGGCACTACCCCCTACATTCGCCATCAGAGGTCTACCTAGTTGACACCTTTCCCGCAACTACTTGAAGCCTTCCTCGTTCGTACATATACGTCCTTAACCGACCATCATATATCCCCGCGTCTAAGGCAGGGTCTGCTAGGTAGCCTTACTGACGAGTCCACTAGCAGGCCCAGGACGAAACGCTCCCTCTCCTTTCCTTTTCACATTTTCCAGTCTACAGATTGCCGCCAAATATCTTTAATTTAAAAATATATATTTTTTTTTACTTATTATAGGTAATGCAGCTGGTCAGCTATTGCCACTAATGGTTATGTATTCATACCAAAGGTTACCATCAAGCATCATTGACAAAGTGCCTCGAGGTTGGAGTGTAGGGAGATCAGATAATGGGTGGATGACTGGAGAGTCATTTTATGAATATGTGACCAAAGTGTTCCACCCATGGTGTACTGAAAAAGAAATTACATTTCCAATAGTCATGTACCTAGATGGACACTCGTCATACGCTACAATGGCACTAAGCAATTTCTGCGTAGAACATAAAATAGAACTAATTTCATTATATCCTAATTCGACCCATATAACTCAGCCAATGAATGTTGCCTTAATTCGTCCACTGAAGGAAGCTTGGAAAAAAGCTGTCACAGATTGGAGAATGGAAAATGGTGGTATAGCTGTGGCAAAACAAAACTTTGCACCACTTTTAGAAACTGCTTTGCAATCTCTGAATATTAAAAATATTCTATCACATGGGTTTACTGCTTGTGGACTTGCACCACTTTCGGCAGATGCAGTAAATTATAGAAAATTACTAAATAATAATCAAGTTCTGCAGCAGGAGAATATTAATATAAAGATGTCAACAACAGAACATAATAATTATGAATGCACATTAACATTTATAGAGAGTTCTACAGACTGCAGAATATTAGAACTTTTTAAAGCAGCAGAAGCTACAGATGGAAAATGGTCTGGGGAACAAAAATATGAGGCGATGTTTGCACTTTGGCTGAAATGTAGAAAGCTTGTAACAAATAAGACTGTAGGAGGAACAACAGATAGCCAACAGCATTGAAAGGTTTCCGGTACTAGCCGTTAAGGATTTCTATTTTAATTTATAAATTGTTTTAATTTTTATTGCAACGTAATTTATTTAAATAATTCAAAATACGTGATTTTTACATATTTTATATAAAATTTTCAAAAAATTTTATTGTAAAATGATATGAATCTATAATTTTTATAAATTATCGGTAAGTATTATAGATTATGACTACTAGATTTCTCAGCATTTTTATTTAATTTATTTAATTTATTTTACATATAAGGCTGATTCAACTCTGAACATTTGCATTAACGAAGAAAATGCAAATGGATTCACTGTAAATAGTAATTTAGTTATAGAACACTTAGATTTAAGTTCTATTAGTGGTAACGAGTTAAATAATAATTTAGATATAAGCAGTTATGAGGTAGTTTCCTTTGATTTCAGTTTAAATTTTTCCATGCACACAATTAACACAATTAGAACCACTAAAATCTTAAAATGATGAGGAAGTAACCATTGAAAATACATGTCCCAATAAATATAGTACTTGTGCATACTTAAATATTAAAAATAAATATTTTTACAGATAAAATATGTAAAATAGTTTCTTATAAATATATCGTTAATTAATTATACTGTAACCGTTATTTTTCGTTATAGGTAACCGACTAGCTGTTGGGGTCGGTTACTAATCCCGGAATGGATATTACTTAAACTGTCTAGATTGGTTCGTGCCTTCAGGTAGTGGACAGCGGAGAGATCTGATTGGTATGTGAAGAAAGTTGGAGACGTTTTATGAGAATAACAAATTTTCACGTATATTCTGTTTGAAAATATATACACCCCAATTATCGCGGTGCCCGATATTCAGATTAGTGTTCACTATTTCGGATTTTAAATAATACTTTCATACATCAACGGATTTTGACAATTTATTACGCGTACTCCTCATTAATACTACGCCACACTCGTGCAACCATTCTGTCAGAAGCGCGTCCTTATTTACCGCCGCGCGTGATCTTTATGTTAGATCTACTTGTTAGAAACTTTATATTGACGCCTCGGTTTTTTAAAGGAGATCTGTATTCCTCAAAGGTTCTGGGGTAAGTGCCGTGTCTTTTGACACAGTCCTCTTGCCAGAGAGTCCCCCGACTCTCCCCACTCCGTGGCCAGATCCTTTATTCCAAATATTTTATCGCATGCGCTTCGTTAGCGACCGGCAACAGGGCGTCGGGCCCTTTGCCGTCACGCAATACCCGGACGTCGAAGCCGCGAGGAATCAACAAAGTATCGCCACTCGAGCCGCCACAGAACCTAAACGCCCGATGTTATGTTTAAGGTTCCGGCTATTGGCGATACAATCTCCTCTCAAGAAGCCGACGCCACGTGCATCTCCCTTCATAAAGGAATCGACGCTAAGACGGCCAATCTGACCTGCTTCGCGCTCTCGGGAAGCATACATCCAAAAATCACAATGCCTCAAATTCACACATAACATTTCATACAGTACTCAATTCCGTGACCGTCACAATCTCTAGACGTCAGCCTCTTGAGCCTCAATATAATCGCGCTTTACCGAGTCCGTGACTGTCATATTTTGCTGACATCACCCTCTCGAACGCAGCAGCAACAACAGCGCTTTACAAGGTCCGTGATCGTCACACAGACGTCACCCTCCTATACGCAACATTTTCACAACAGCGCTTTACAAGGTCCGTGATCGTCACACAGACGTCACCCTCCTATACGCAACATTTTCAGTCCAAACATACTAAATGCATCTTTCCAACATTCAAGACCAGAAAACACAGGAACAACCAATTCATCGTCCATGACCATTGATTTAATACAAGCACTAGTTAAATACAAAGACAGAATACAATATCAATAATGAAATAATTAAGCAAATACAAAACATAAGTAACATACAAAGAAACGAAAACACAATACAAGAATATAACTGTAGATATTAAAAATTCGATCTACGCTAACACGGTTCATCCGCGGTTTCGACATCTTCATCACTGACATCAAAATCGCCGCTCCAATCACCCTTCCAAACCCTTAGCCGGTCCTTGGGTACTATTTGGGTTCTACCTGATTTACCTGCGAGTTCATAACGATCATTTATTAAAACTTTCGTAATCGCGAAAGGACCAACATATTTTTTTTCTAATTTTGCTCTCCTATTATCACCAGGTTTAACGAACACTGTGTCACCTTCCTTATATTCAATATTATTTCTACGCGTTTTATTGAATCTAGCATCTTGATTCACGGCATTTTCCTCTAATCGTTTGGCTGCAACGTCTCTATCGCGCATCACATCTATTTCTTCTCCTGTAGGAGGTAACTGTTCTTCAATACGCACCACTGTGCCAGGGCCTTGATCTAACCCAAATAGCAAACGACTCGGTGAAAAACCAGTAGTTTTCTGTACTGTCGTATTTAAGGTCAACATTAGCTTAGCTAGTTTGTTCGGCCATTCTGTCCCCTTTTTAATCTCTACTGTCAAAAGGTTAGTTACAGTCGCTACATAGCGCTCGGCCTGACCATTAGCTCGTGGAGCTCCCGTAGCAATAAAATGATCTTCGCTACCGTGTTTCACAATGAACTGCTGCAATTGTTTGAATGTGAAATTTGTACCCCTATCAAAAACAATAAGACGGGGCGTACCAAACAGTGTCAATCGTTCCTTAAAAACTTGTAAAGTCTCGGAACCGCTTAAGGTTTTTAACGGGACTAACTGAATGTATTTTGTGAATGCGTCTACTATTACCAGAATGTGTTGATATCCATCCTTAGAAATTTCAAAAGGCCCGACACAATCGCAGTGGATTGTATGAAATGGTATACATTTTTTTGGAATGGAATGTAAAAGACCCTGCCTCGGTCCTGTATGTCGTTTAGAAACAATACAAGTAAGACAATGATCTAAATATTTCCTTACAAATGCCCGCATCTTCGGAAACCAATATTTTTTTGAAATTCGATCGTATGTTTTCTCATGACCAACATGACAGTTTTCGTCGTGATAAAGATTGCGACTTAAATAATCAACATGTTCGACCTGCTTCCCCTTACGATACTCGAGGTCAAAAGTAAAATCCTTCAGGTAAATCCACCACCGAGCGATACGAGGTAATAAATCACGTTTGGTGCTGGTAGCTTCTATGGCATTGCAGTCGGTAATGATTTTAAACTTAATACCCAAAAGGTAAACACGAAAATATTTCAATGCATTTACTATTGCTAATGTCTCTAATTCATAAGAATGGTAACGAGATTCCTCGGGTGTTGTACGCCGACTAAAATATGCAACGACACGCAGGTCTCCATCCATTCTTTGAAATAATATGGCCCCATAACCGATTGAACTAGCATCGGTGTGCAGCTCAGTCTCTCTCTTCGGATCAAAGATAATCAATAACGGTTTTGAACTTAATTTGTCCAAAATGTAATTACGTGCATTCTCTTGACTCGGACCCCAGCACCAAGGTTGATTCTGTCTTAACAATTTCGTAATACATGAGGCCCGCGAAGCAAATTCAGGAACGAATTTACGAAAATAACTCGCTAACCCCATAAACTGCCTCACTTGTTTTACATTGATTGGGACCGGCGCCTCCAACAATGCTTTTATTTTCCCACTACCTGGTCTAATACCTTCCCCCGATATTTCTCTTCCCAGATATTCTAGTTGTGTTTTGAAAAATAAACATTTCTTCATATTCAAAGAAAATCCCGCCGTATCTAAAGCTTGTAAAACTTGCTCCAGGCGATCTAATCCTTCTTCGATAGTCTTGGACGGAATTAAAACGTCATCCAAATAAACTAATGCTATACTATTCCTCAAATTGCCTAGTGCGTTATTAATAGCTCGTTGAAAAACAGCTGGTGCATTGGCAAGACCAAACGGCATTCGCAAAAATTCGTAATGACCGTCGGGCGTTACAAACGCAGTCTTTTCAATAGAATCTTCCGCAATTGGAATTTGATAAAAACCCGACGCCATATCCAATGTGGTAAAATATTTGGCATCGCCTAAGCGATCTAACTGATCATCTATTAAAGGTAAAGGATATTTGTCCTTTATCGTAATCCTGTTTAACGCCCTAAAATCAATACACATACGATCCTCGCCGTTTTTCTTTTTAACAAGAATAATGGGACTCGCATATGAAGACGTACTCCCACGAATAATCCCGTTCGTCATTAATTCAGAAATTATTTCACGAACCTTCTCTCGCTCCGAAATAGACAAACGATAAGGATGGTAACTCACCGCTCGGTCCTCTTTTGTAGCAATTTTTATTTGCCCTGTACTCACGCATCGCACTTTACTCCCTACTGCAATCATATCCTTATGTCGTTCCAGCAGTTCTCTTAAGCCGCTACGAGCCTCCTCGGCTACCTCCCCCAGGATACAGCACATCGGGTCGGATGGTCCTCCACCGTTCCGATTTTTCTCCGACACGCGTTCAAGTTTTGTTGTCCCGTCCGAATCGGTTACCATCCGCAACCCACCACAACTCAAAACATTTTTTCCAACGATAAGGTCGTATGGAACAAACTCATCCGGCACAACAAATAAATCAACCTCCAACGACAGTCCATCCACTTCTATCACAACAGTCGTACTACCGACTGTCTTTACAGTAGAGTCCGAAATGCCCCGTATCGTTGTTGTATACGAGTTTATTTTGCAATTAGCTCGTCTGGCTACTCGTTCTTTAATTAAAGAACACGTTGCTCCACTGTCTATTAAACTATCGCGAACCAGAATATCGCGTATCACAACAGGTGTCAATTTATGGTCGACGGAATAACAGACATTCATCTGGTGCTTTCCGTCATTCATGTCCGGCTTCTTCGCTACCTGGTCCTCACGGGTTGCACGTCTTTTCGCCCAGCAGTTTACCTCCTCGTGTCCCCGCTTGGAACAATAAGTGCAGGTAACAACTCGCCTTGGTGGACTTCGTTTTGGGGAGTGACGTTTCGGCGAATTCCGTCTCAAAGGGCTACGTTCCCTATCCAACCGTGGTTTCTTGGTACACTGTCTAGACGTATGGCCCACAATGTCACAGGTGTAACAACGCTTTCGATATAAAGGACGTGCTCTCTCTGCTTCGTGTTGTTCCTCCTTTTCTCGAGGAATCTTCTTGTATTCGGATATCCCCACAAGTAAATCCGACGTGGTATTATATCGTGCGTTCAACATCGCCTGCCGCACATTTGGATCGGTAATTGTAGTCACAATAAGTTCGATGAATTCGGCGGCAGAAAATGAAACCCTCGTTTGTTTTAAATACGTCAGTTTTGTACGTGCGTATTCAGCATAACTGACTACTCCGTCACTAGCGTATTGTAATGCACGCAAAAGACGATCGTGTAACTTCCTCTCAGACACAAACATTGCGCACAAATCTTCTCGGAATTTTTCCCACGTACACGGTTGTGCTTCCCATCCCTGATACCACTTCTTCGCTGGACCAACAAGCGCATGAGTTGCGAGACTTAATCTCTGATGCGGCACATCTTTTGTTAACTCCTCCACCCTGGTACACCACAGATTTGCGTCGTCGCCCAAATCGGCCCCACTAAACTGCGGCATCGCTCCCACAGGAACAGGAGTAGATGAATTAACAGGAGCTGCAGTACACGCTGTCACACTCGCTCCAATTTTTTCCAATACCTGACGAACCAGCTCATCAAGAGGAGATGCCTCATTTGCCGCCATTATTATTTTTATTAATAATAACCACACAAAAGGAACACACTGTAACACGCTTACAAACGCGCACACACCAGACCGATATTCAATAAGATAAATCTTATTCACTTCGTTGTGGACGCGAAAGCTACTTTATCCCACTTCTGATGTTAGAAACTTTATATTGACGCCTCGGTTTTTTAAAGGAGATCTGTATTCCTCAAAGGTTCTGGGGTAAGTGCCGTGTCTTTTGACACAGTCCTCTTGCCAGAGAGTCCCCCGACTCTCCCCACTCCGTGGCCAGATCCTTTATTCCAAATATTTTATCGCATGCGCTTCGTTAGCGACCGGCAACAGGGCGTCGGGCCCTTTGCCGTCACGCAATACCCGGACGTCGAAGCCGCGAGGAATCAACAAAGTATCGCCACTCGAGCCGCCACAGAACCTAAACGCCCGATGTTATGTTTAAGGTTCCGGCTATTGGCGATACAATCTCCTCTCAAGAAGCCGACGCCACGTGCATCTCCCTTCATAAAGGAATCGACGCTAACATACACTAATTATCAGAGAAAATGCGACGATGGAGACAAACACAACGCCCCAGTCAAACTGAAACACCTGCTCAGAGCGATCATATCTCATTATTTATGTTTTCTTTATTAATAATTCGATTCTGCTAGGTGGACAAACGAAAATTTGGGGTCGAAAAATGTGGACAAATCGTAGACAAACGAATACTGTTTGTTTTTCATAAAATTTTGCATTTGGGGGTGCTAACTTCAGAGACCTAAAACATTCTGTGGCGTGCTCACTTTGATGTACCGACAACGACTGGATCGGGCGAACAGCTCGGCCGAATGGTGTTTTTGTTCGCTTCGCCATCCACTTCAGCGCACGGTCGCTTCTTCGGCGTGCGTCCGCTACTTATCCCTTGCTCATTCGGGTCGCATGCACAGATGGGTACGGGGTTTTCGGCCTGTGCGTCCCCGAACATCGCCCGAGCATGTCGCGCGCACGTTCGGTGCTCATGCGGCCTGCATGCTCAGATGGGTACGCGGCTTAGAAGGGCGTCAGACTAGACCTCTCACAAGGCGGAAGGAAGCTCCATGGTCAGGGGATCCTTCCACGGCGCGTCGTCCCTGAGCCGTAGGAGCGTGGCTCCGCAGGAGTATATGGGGGGCACGCGGGGAGAGAAAATTAGCGTAGTAGGGTATGGGGGCACGCTATGTCCAAACGCCGCGTAACGGTATCCCGAAAATCACTTGGGTTGCGTCTGTCGCGAGAGTTGAGTGTGTGAGTTCAGGAGAGCGTGATAGAGAGTAATAGGAGTAGAGTAGAGCGAGAGAATTGAAGATCGGTGAAAAGCGAGCTAAGGAGAGAGCAGGGAAAATTTGCGTCCCTCATTAGGTAAGCCTTCTCACCTTGTTTCACGTGGGAAAACCTTGATCTCGTACTCACCAGGACAATGTCGCGATAGCCGAGGTAGCGTGTAATATCGCTAACGTGTTGTGCAGTGCGAACACGTGGTTCTCGGGAGAAATTCATTATAGTAGAATCCTCGCAGTTTTCCTCCAGGGCTCGATGTAATTGCGCGAGCGCACCCAAGTCATTGTAAAGTTTATTGTAGCCGACGGTGGTACAATCTCGAGCTGCCGGGTATCGTGTCGTCTCGTACCGTACTGTCGTGCTGGCAAAATTTAATGTTTCGAGTGGCCGCGGACCACTGAGCTGCCGATTGTTATTAATTGTAAGGACCTCGCTAATCGCGACCAAAGTCGACCGTCGGACTGCTGATTGTTAAAGCGTGTCATCTATTGTAACGCGGTCTCTGTAGAGGCCGACGCGAGAATTCTATTAAATGTTACTGCCCTATTAAGCCGAATCGCCTTCGTTGTGTAGTTTTTTTGTTGTTGTTTGAGCGGGATCTCCTGTCGCGAGAAGCGCCTTCCCTCCTATATTTGCGAACTCTGGCCGAATGCGAACTATCTAGGGCGGGTTTCTTTTCCTTCGGGTCGGTCGAACGGTTTCGGCCCCTCAGGGGAACTCGGAGTGTGGGCCGGTATTCGGGGAATATCGGCTGGCACTCGTCGGAATGCCTGGCGCCCTAATAATTGGTTGGGAGAATCGCGGGAATGCGAGCGGAGGTACGGGACCGGGAGGGAAACGTACGTGCCGTGAAACGCCCACGCGACCGACCGAATTTCGCGTATCACGTAACAATACAAGTTCCAAAATCCTCTCGTCCTACACGTTTAGGGCAGGTGCCACCAGCTGTAGCCTTACTGATAAGTCTGGCTGGTGGTCCCGAGGCGAAACGTACCTCTTTTTTGTCCTCTAATCCGTTTCTTCTCCTTTATGTTCCCTATGCCTTCGGGTGGGAGTAGGAGCAAGAACCCGAAATAGCGTCAACACCGGGATAATATAGCACCTGGGACCTTACACGGGGCTTCTGACTCCCTCAAAGCATGGGACAGAAAATTACATCGTATGTTAGGTCTATTTCACTATCTCGTCTTTAGTTTGAGTTTTCCATAGACATATAATAGACTGCGAGGTCTTATGGTAGGGATGAAGTTGGAACTAGAAAGAGATGACAATAACTGCAGTAACTTTCCCTTTCTAATGGGGCTGTTGGTGGGGGATTCTCCTACGGCTGTAGTAGAGGCATTACATGCGTGCAGCATTCCTCATCGCCGTCCAGTCGTCCCCCCCCCCCTCTGCGATGTGCGTGCAAGAGAGAAGTTACTCCAACGCTACTTCTGTCCTTCGGTCTCGTTGCATCCCCCCCTTTTTTTTGACGGGGTAAAACCTAAAAAAGGAGTACCGCCTCCGCTGGGGGCAGAGACGGCATGTGCGGGATTTCACTACGCTAAAAACCCCATGGTGGTCCTCTCGGGCGTAAGGGCCGGTCACGGGAACGCTAAAGGACACCTCCGCGACCGGCCCCGCCCTTGCCTCCCGCTAGGCACGGGGGGGCTGCTCCCCCTGAGAAGGCTGATGGTCCGTTCGTCCACTTCCTACATACAGCATCGGGGGGGCCACCACCCGGTGGTGTCTTCTGGGCCGGCCGCGACAGCGGTAGTACCCCCAGTACTGACGCCTCGGTTCGGGCTGCCCCGCTGGCAGCGCGAGGGGTCACCGCGGCAGTGACCCCGTTAGCTCGTGCGCCTGCGTGGCGGCCAGTTTCCTCCAACCGTGCAGACCCGCACCGTGAGTGAGGAGGCAGGCGAGCTAGAAGACCCTAGGGCTCCCTGTGCGTATCCCTCCACCAGGGAGGGTCGGCAGCGAAGGTAGCTGACAGCCACCACCTAGCCCGCCTCGCTCTCCTTGTACGGATTGTTCCCGACTCCGCTCACCGGCCTCCTGCCGCAAGAGGATTTCCTCGCAGAAGGAGGCCACGGTGTCCCAGAACCTCCGACTGCTGACCATGGCTTCTACCACGGCTTGCAGCAAGAGGTCCAAGCCTACGATGCGCTGGAGTGCCCGTCTTTCACCGGCGAAAGTCGGACACTCTTGTAGTACATGCTGCATGGAGTCCAGTTTCGCGCCGCACTATCGGCACTCTTTCGTCGCCTCCGACCGAATTTTGTACAGATATTCACCGATACAACCGTGTCCGGTGAGTATTTGCGTGAGGTGGTTGGTGAGCGTACCATGGCCACAGCTTGATTCGAGCTGCATCCGCCACGCTTCGCGAGCGATCCGCCGAGTCCGGCGCTTCAAATCCTCGACCGCTTCGGGCGGAGCGGTTTTCCCTGAGCGGCGGAAGGCTGCTTGACGCCGATAAACATCGACATCAGCCGCCGCCTGCAGCTGAATGGGGACCACGCCCGCCAGCGCCGTCGCCGCCTTGTGGGAAATGGTCCGATATTGCCGCACGACCCTGATGCTCCTCCGCCGTTGTACGCGACGGAGTAGCTGCCGACCTCGTTGACAGGCCTTCAGGACAGTGGCCCAGACGGGCGACCCATATAGGACCATTGCCCGGACCAACCCCACGTAGAGGCGGCGTACCCTCTCGGTTTGCCCCCCAAGTTTGGGCAGGTGGCGGCCTAGAAGTGCCGCCACCCCTTCCACCCGGGGGACCAGGCTGTCGAAGTGGCCTTTAATGCGTCAGCGGCTGTCGAGGTCGAGATCTAGGTGTTGGAAACTGTCGCTGAACTCAACAAGATCCTCACCTACTCGGATGCGGGCCTGGGACGGTCGCCGCGACAGAGGCAACCCGTCAAACCAGGCGGCCTCCGTCTTTTGCGGCGAGATGTCCAGCCCCAAGGCCCGGATCCTGGCGACGGTGAGTGCCACTGCCACTTCTTTGCGGCGGGCCATCCGCGTCCAGTCTCGTCCGACTACACCTACTATTCACATCTGGTGGGCAGGACTTCTGCAGAACCGCGTCGCACTCCAGGTTCCATCGGAACGGACCCAAACCAAAACCCTGGGATACGCCACAGTTCATCGCCCTCTCGAGCATTCCGCCCGGCCGGGATACTCGATCCAGCGGTTCGACATAGTCGAACAGCACGACTCGCATGTAGGTAAGTACCTCGTGCTCGCGAAGACCCTCCCTGTTGCTCGCAAGGCAGGGAGTTAAATGCGTTGGTCACATTAAGATTAACGGTCAACGCCATTCCACCCTGGGAGACGGTCGAGCCCGCGATGGACCTAACGTGATCGATCACATCGAGCGCTGATCGCCCACAGCGGAAGCCGTACTGGCACTCGGCCAAGCCGTGATGTCGGTCTCGCTTCATCCCTACTATAAGACCGGGCATGGAGGCCCCGGAAATGGGAGACTCGTGAGGTGATTTGAAACAAGTTTTTCCTTGGCAAAATGGTTAACTATGGCTTTGTTAACGAGATATTAACGAAAAACACCGACCAATCAGAGCGCGAGTCTTTCAGCCAATTTCTCGCGGTAGCATTGGCTATGCACTGCGATTGGTAGCCAACGTTACCGCAGGAAATCGGCAGGCAAACTCGCGCTCTGATTGGTCGCGGTTTTTCGTTAATATCTCGGTAACGAAGCC